CCTGACTGAGGTTCAACTGTTGCCTCCATGTTGTTGAGAGCATATGATAAGTTGATTTGACCGATAGGGAGTGTAGTGACTGCGTATAATTTTTATCCTTCTTTTTTTTGTCACCCCATGTCCAGCATGCTGGGTCTAGCGGAAGGTCTGAAATTTATGTTGCAGGTCTAAAGGCCAACCATGATGAGGTATCTTTTTGGAGTACCCTGATTCTGAAAATTTGGTCCATTAACACTGATGAATCGGGGGAGATGACTAATATATTACCAATCATCTGCGGTTCATTCCCGAGACTCACCCAGTCACTTTCCTGAAAAATTTTACCCTTCTTAAGAGTACGAAACCAATCAAGTGGGATTATGTCAATGATCCTTTCCAAGTTTTCTTCCACATGGTGACAATGTTTGAGTTTACTTTAGAGAGAGGAGAAAGCCAACCAATCCTTGGCATTTACATCCTAAATGTCTTTTATTCTTGTGACTCCTCTCATAATCCAACCTTTCCACGAGTTTTCATTGCAGTGTAGCGTGTAGCCTTCGGGGTCCCTTATCCATTCATTGTTGAAAATGGGTTGTCAGAGAACCTCCTCCCATTTTTAGGGAGGATGTTTATCCGGCAGGGGGAGCGTCCTCCATGTTTTAATGATTGTAACCCAAAAAGGATCCTTACTAATATCTGATCTTGCTGCCTCCTTATCCGTTTGCTCCTGAACATTCTGGTTCTTGGATCCACCTTTGGGATGGGTCATGCCCTGTTCTCTAACCATATTGCAGGATCATTGTGCTTTGGGTGAGGGGAGTCAATCTCCTCAGTTGTTCCCATGCTAGGGCACTCCATAGGGTTTGCGGGTTGAATAAGAGTCTCTTAATCCATTGTATTGAGAGAGTCACGACTTGTGTAGCTGGGTCTATGATGCCTACCCCTCCTCTTGTTTTAGGTTGGATTAGAGCTAACTAGGCAACCCTACTGATGAACTTTTTACAGTCGTGATTTCCTCTCCAGAGAATAACTCTTAATTGTTGTTGTAATTTGTAAAGACTTAATTGTTGAGTCGTCAAGAGCCCATATGGCTGATTTGTACCAGGTCGAGGCTAATATTACGTTGTTGATTATTAAAGAACATCCCATGATCAAGGTGTGATTAGTTTTCCATAATTCAAACTTGGTTTGAACACTCTGCATGATTTTCTCATTATGACTTTTTGGTTTACCTTCTGCTGATAGGAAGATGCCCAAAACTCTAATGGAAATCTCTTTGGGTAGTCATTTGATACGGGGGAGCTCAGGCGGTCTTACCCTTTGATGGTGGATCCACCATCCTAAGTTTTATTCTTTCCAATTAACTTTTACATCAGATAGTCTATGAAATTTGTTCATTAGTTTGTGAATTGTCGCTATTTTTTCTTGTGTAGCATTCACTATTAGCGAGAGGTCATCTGCAAAAAGGGAACAAATAGGGATCGCTTCCTCTGAAATTCAAGATATCTGAATCCTTCTGATATCCTTGTTGATGCTCTGATTGGCAGCAAGGGCTTCCATAACTATGATGAACAAAAAAGGAGCTAAAGGATCCCCTGTCTAACAGATCTCTGAAGGTTGATTGGGGGGACCACATTGCCATTAACCATAGCTCTAGTAGTTGCTTTTTGATGCAGTATTTCTACCCATTTTTTGAAACTTTGTCCAAAATTTATTTTCTCAAAGTATTTATCAAAGAAAAAACAGTCCACGTGATAATAAGTTTTTTCAAAATCTATGAAAATAAATGTCGCATTGTGTTTGGACTGGCGTGCGACTTTGATTAGTTCATTGATGAGTAGGATGTTATCTTGGATGTTTCTGCCCGTAATGAATTTTGTTTGTAAAAGGGTGCATGATATCCGCAATGACTCTTAGCATTCTGTCAGCCAGGGCTTTGACAACCAATTTGTATATCACCATGAGAAGGGTAATGGGTCTGTAGCATACTTGCGGCACATGTCGTGCGCGACACTTGCACACGTGCGCCGCATCGTGCATCGCACAAGCAGCGCATGCACAACGTGCGCCGCATGACCTAAATTAAGCGTAGACAAAAAAAAAAAGTTCGGGGGGCGGGGTGAAAGTGGGAGGGGGGGTTGTCGTAAAAATGAAACCGGGCCCACGCAATTTTTTTCCGAGCTACGCCAAGACCCGTGATTTGTTTTGGTCCCAACGTTCGAATTCAAACACTGGGTGAGGTGATCTCCCGCCTAGGCCTCCAAACATTTCATTTGTATCCTCCACCTCGTCCTCCCGCCGTCGTCGTCATCGAAGAGTTAAAGACCCTCGGCCATCTTCACGCCTCGGCCGTCTTCATCGAAGTCCTCCGTCGGCCATCCTCCATAGTCGGGCAGCAGCGCGAGGCCAACCGCGGGGTTGGCGGCTTGCCAGTTCGCCGGTGCGTTGCTCATCCTGTTGATGGAAAACTGCCTCTCTCTCTCTCTCTCTCTCTCTCTCTCTCTCTCTCTCTCTCTCTCTCTCTCTCTCTCTCTCTCTCTCTCTATCTATCTATCTATCTATCT